GGAGCTGAAGCCTGGGGATGGGGGGCAGATCCAAGCAGACCCCTTCTCCAGGAGCTAGTGCTGTTTAACAAGCACGTTTCTGTTGGATTGGTCTGCACCACCATCCCAGGTGCACCTGTGGCTCTGGGGGTGGTGACAGAGCCATGTCACAGGGCTGTGCTGGCCCTTCAGAGAGGGAAGGGAACCGCTGCCTCCCCCCACCCCTGGCAAGATGCCTGCTTGGACTTTTGAGCTCTGGGAATCTCAAATGCAAGCTGGTCCTTCTTTTCTGGGAGAGTGTGGGAGAGAGAGGGGGGAGCAGTGGGTGAGGGTGGGGGCTAAGTGTGTCTCTGGGAGTGGGCATCCTCAGACCCAGGACCCAGCACTATGGCTGCATCTAGGACGGCCTCTGGAACGACACCTGCTCTGAGCCAGGCTGGATCTTCTGGGGTCGATTCCTGGGGCCCGTCCAGAGCTGGGAGCGCCCTGTGCTGCTCCCATTCCTTTATGGCAGGGGTGGCCCACTCCCATGCGGGTAGTGGCCGCCAGCCCTGTGCGAGGCTCTTTCTGGGAGTTTGATTTTTCCCTAAGGAATTTCCTGACTAGCTCCAGGCCGTTCAGACCACAGTGAGAGAGGAGGGAAGCTGGTTTTCCTCCAGGGTTGTGGGGAGGCAGCCACCCCATGGCAAAGCCTCCCTGAATGAATTATCGGTCAAGGGGAGTGTGGGAAAAGATCAGGGTCCTTCGCCACAGGTCAGGGGACATGGGGTGCTTGGAATCTGCACACATGAGCGTGTTTGGGTGCAGCCGGACACTCAGGCCTGTTCTAGGGGGAGCACCGTGGTGGAGCACCCCCACCCCCCACTATTCCCTGAACCTCCCTGGAGCCTCCTGTCCCATCTCTCCTTTGCCTTTCTCTGTTGGCCTCATGTGCGCTGTCGGTGCTGGACAAGCAGCTGCTCGACTGGAATAAAAAGACGTCTCTCTCTTTTTCACTGAGCGGAGGTTCTCTGAAAATGCAGCATGCGCATTTCCTGCCTGTGCTCCAGATTTGTTTTGGCAAGTGGACCCCCATTCCGAGGAGAGAGTGGGTGAGAGAGCTTGTCTGGGGACTTGCTCCTGGGGTCGCATGCCTGGTTCTCCCCTGCCCTCCTCCTGCAGGCAGCAGATTTTTAATAGAAAAGGGAAAACGAGTGATGTGGGCCCTCCAGATTCTGTGACCTCTGAGCCACCGGGCAGCGGGAATGCTCCTTTTCCTGTCCTGTCATCATTCTGTGCTGTTCTCCATCGTGGCAACGGTTTGCCTGTGAGGGTCTCCCTGGTGGGAGGACAGTGCCCAACATCCAGCTTCCATTTTCAGCCCTGAGCGGGATGCCTGCCACGCACTGAACCTTAACTATGAGGACAGGATGGCTGGGAGCGCCAGCAGGGAAGTAAGGGATGCCCGGCTCTTCGTGCACCTACTCGGACAAGCCATCAGTCATCCCTCTTTAGAAAGCTTGCTCTTTGGGTGCTGGGTATCGAGGGCTTGGAGCAGAGATTGGATGAGCTCAGGTTGCAGACAGGACCACACTGGCAGTTGTGAGACCTTGGTGACAACATTTCACCTGATGGAGCCTGTTTGTCCAGCCTTGTGGCTGAGAGGGGGAGACTCTGTGAAAGACCCAGTAGGTCCTCCATAAACGTGCCTTTCCAGGGCTGAATCCCTCTGTTTTGACAGGAAAGAAGCCTGGGGTTTGGGCTTTTCCCTGCCATACTTAGAATTGTCCATGAAGGATTCACACACTCATGGCTCAGCAGTGGTGACAGGTGGGAATTTAGATCCGGGGTGATGAGAGCCTCCTGAGATCCAGACAGCAGCCGTGACCTTGCTGGATCCACCTGTAGCCTCTTGAAGACTATTTGCTTTAAATATGTTTTTATGCACATCTGTAAATTGTATCCCACACATTTGGGATTTATCTAGGTTGTAACATGATGGTTTTTGCATGTAGTATACACTCATGTGCACACACACACACACACACACACACAGAGAGAATTAGCTATATAGGAATAATCAAAGGAGAGCCTTCCATGCCCACTAAGACCCTCCAAAGACAGTGCAGTAAGCCGAGTGAGTGAGAGGGGGAGTGAGTGTGCACCCAGACGCTGGACCAGACGGACTCTTGGCTGCATCCGGGTGTGGGCATCCAGACCAGGGCAGTGAGGACACAGAGAAGCTGAGAACACACAGAAAAGGGAACCACAGTCTCAACTGTGAGTCTGAATTGGATAACGGGAAGTGGATTAGACAGAGTCTCCTGGGGAAGAATTACGGATTTCCCTCTTGCTTTCATGGAAGCGTTTGGAAGGGAAGGCAGCCATTTAGCGCTTGGCTGGCTGGAAGGACACAGGAACCCTGGCTCCCTCACTGCCTTGAGCTTGAGGTAGGAGTGGGGAGACGTGTGTCTCCTATGATGTCTCCCGTCATGTCAGGGTTCCAACGATGTAGATCTTGGCCTCTTGATCCAAAACCAAACACGGCCCCTCCTCTGTTCCATTAGATGTGCTCCTTTGTAAGGAGGGGAGTGAGGACGAGGGCAGGGGAAACTGGGGCCCCAGATGCCACTTCCTGGTACTGAATTCTAATACCCTCCCCCCACACGAATGCTGTAGGAGCGCTGGGAGCCTGTGCTCGCACCTCTGTGGAGTTCTCTCCTTTCTTTTTTAAAAATAAGAAATATCAAAGATGATTTCAGCAATGGAGATGAAAAGGCAGAGCAGCCCTCGTCTGCTCCCTCCCTGCGTTCCGCCCCCCCCCCCCCCCCCAGGATTCGTTACTGTTTTTCTAGAACAAGAAGGAAAGAGTTTTATTTGTAGGAGAGTTTTTCTTGCCCTTAATGATGTGGTGGGCGGCAGTGGTAGCATGTTTTTATTTTATGTTATTTTTTATCCCCTGCTGCTTTGGGGGAGGGTGACAGTGTTTGAGTTTGGGGTGCGGTGTGTGGGGGACGGTGTTCCCTTGGAGAGGAGCGAGCGGTGCGAGCAGATGTTCCACCCCCGTGTCTAGAAGGTGGGGGGACTGGGAGGACGGCGCTGCTCGTGGGTGGGGAAGGACCCAAGTTATGTAAGAGCATCGAGGGGGTGGCTTGGGGACGCAGACAGAGCCTGAGGATGCAGGCAGACACCCTTACAGGGGCCGTCAGGGAAGGCGGCCGGGCGCTATCTGCTGGGGGCCTGGCGGCCGTATCGTGGCAGGCGCGGTGCCCGCGGGTGGTTCTCAGGGTGTCAGGTCGGCAGAGCAGGCGGGAGGCCTGGAAGGTGGAGGAGCTCCGGTAGGAGGAGCAAACTTCTTGAAGCCTGGGGAGGACTCGTTCTCTCTCTGCTCTTTCCCTCCCCTCTCTCCTCTTCGTTCCTGCTCCCCTTTCTCTAAATCAGTTCCCCAGCAACCGAGGAGACAGACCTCTTCATTTCCCGCGTTTCCTCGAGGTCTCCTTCCCCCAGCACCAGTCATCACCACGTGACAACAGAGCAGCACACGTCCTGAGCTTTACAGCATCCCAGGGGCCGACGCTGGTGCTTTTTCCTGGTACAGGTAGGGCCCCGCCTGACCCACAAGGAGGGACAAAAACCTGAGCAGGTGATATTGAAACAGCAAGTGGCTGGGGTTGGGTCCAGGCACCACCGCCAACCAGCCACTGACGCAGTATCCTCAAACCTGCTTGTGGGGCCGCTGTGAGGATGACAGCCAGGCCGCTGTGGACCTGACCCCAACCTCAGCAGGCAGGAAGGAGCCCGTCAATGCCGAGGGCGGGGGTCTGGGTGGGTGTTTGGATACATCTGTCCCATAGTGTCTTCAGCAGGCTTCTTGGCGCTCCAGCTACCCCCGTGCCCCTTTCTGTGGACACTGGCTGTGTCTTTGCTGGTCAGTCAGTCGCTCTGCGTTTTCACTGGGTGGGAGCCGGGAATCACACTGTGCTGTGGAATTCCAGCTCTGTCTCTGCACTAATGGGCTGATGCGCTTGGTACCTAAGACCACGAGGCCGAGGCCAGTGCGAGCTCGGCATGCTTAATCTTCACAGCTTGTTTTATCTTCGTTGGTTGGTATTTATCTATCTGCTTGTTTGTTTATGTTTTCCCCTTGGAGGCCCTGGGAAAGGAGGGAACATGCAGAGGCAGGAGGGTCTCGGTTTCGCCCCATGTTGAGCTGCCCCTTTCGGCCGAAGGCTGCCCAAAGTGCGAAGTAGGGGAATCCCGTGCCTGTTTGGTTCTAAGTGGTTTCTCTTTGTCAGGACGGGATATTCTGCCCTTAGAGGTTGATAAACATTGATGTTTCAGCTCCCTGATGGTTGTTGGCTCACTGTGTGATTCTGCAGCAACCCCATCACAGCCTCTGCTACCGATGGGATGTCGCAGTGATGACAGGACTTGCCTCTCAGAGCGATGCAGAGGATGTAGCAGTACGTCCCCTGCAGAGTTCTTCGCTCTTGACACAGAAGATGCCCGAGGAGTCATGGGGGTGGTGATTTTTCATTATGGTCTCATTGCGGTTTTGGAAAGTCACTAATCATGAAGGTTGTAAACATGCCTTTCTGAGCAATGGGCATATTTCCCTGCACCGGTCGGCAGCCACATGCGGCTGCATGGTTGACTTTTAGGCTTGGGGTTGTTTGTAAGTGAGACGATTGTGACACGAAGGAGTTCTGTGCTGGCGTCGCCTGAGAGGGAAGCCACTAGCCCGTGGCCCGTCCGGGTGGAGATGGGCTGTGGGTGTAGAATGCACACCGGATTTCAAACACGCAGCGTGCTGAGAAAGCATGTGAATCATCTCGTTAGTAATTTCTTATGTGGATCACATATTGACATGATAATATTTTGGATATATTGGGTTACATAAAATATATTATTAAAATTAATTTCACCCACTTAAAACATTTTTTTAATGTGGCTGCTAGAACGTGTAATGACCCTTGTGGCTGGCATGATATTTCTGTGGGGCAGGCTGATGTAAGACCCCACCCCCCCCTCCCCCCCGCCCACACCCCACCCACACGGATGAGCTGGATCCCTCCTGATCTCTCGGAGCCTTTATATCCTTATCTGTGAAGAGGGAGATTCCGCCAGAAGGTGCCCCGGGACTGACATTCCAGGAGTCGATGACCTTTTCCTTGCCCTGTTGACAGCACCAGGGAGCCCCTTAGCGAGGCTGAAAAGGGGACCTCAGGCAGTCTAAAGCGCTGCCTTTGAGAGAGGTCCCGGAGCTGTGTAACTCCGAGTTCTTCCCAGCTACGCACCACTGGGGTTTTCGGGAGACACCCTCCAGCTTTGTAAATATGCATTAAAAAAATAAAAATAAATCCATTATTTTGTCAACCTTCACAACAACCGAGCTTCCACAACGCCTCTCACACGGAGGTTCCAGAGCATAGCACGGTAAACAGTGCACCGGAAAGAAAAAAACAAAACTGCACGCTTGGAGAGTTCGAAGGCAGCAGAGAACTTGTTTTCGCTCCTGGCAAAAGAAATGCTAAGGTGAAGGCTGGGCAACCGGTGTGTGGGGACCCTGGAGGAGACCCCGCGGGCACGGAGGTGCCACATCTGCCCCCCAAGCTGGGGCCACGCTAACATCAGGTAACTGATATGGAAGCAAAAGAACTGAGAGGAACTTCTGGAAAGGAGGGAAGAAAGGTTAGTGATGAGCACCAGCAGGGCTAAGATAACCCGGAGTCTTACTGCAGAAGCTCCTGCAGCGAGGTCGTCTCTGGAAGCTGGGACAGACTCGGAAGAACTGACCTCTGGGCCTGGGGCTCTGGGGGCAGATGTTCTGCACCAGTGTGCAGAGCTGCAGCGCTCCTTGTCTTGGGGAAAACCCATGTTCCCTCTGCCTATCCTGGCCTTGGTCACCCAGGGCACCAAGAAGAGAGATGCTGCCCAGAGGGCTACACAGACCCGGCACCTCTGGCGTTGTGCACGCAGCGCGGGAGGCATGTCAGACGTCCCTCTTATTTTTATTTTCCATTTTTGACATTGTCCTTCAGTTCCTCCTCCACGCTCCCCATTAAGCTGTTAAATCACTCCATTTATTTAGTGCGAGTGTTTCTGAGAGCTCATTTTTATCTTGGTGAAAACCAGGCTTGCTCATGGGCATATAATGAAATTGCATAAATATACCCTTAGCTTGGAATCTAATTTATTTTTCCTGTTCATTATGGGGTAGAAGGCCATTATGAAATGTATAACTTTTTTTTTCCAGTGCTGGAATTGAAAGGCTGGGGCTCGGGCTCTTTTTATTCTGATGATTTCGTCCTGATTCAATTTAAAGCTGGTTAGAGCTCAAATACTGGAGCGTAATTGACAAAGATCAGTGTGGGCTGTAATGCTAATGTCGCGTCTGCGGCTTCCTCAGCTCGACACGATGGACAGCGGGTTACGCAGCGATTCCATCAGGATACCTGGGCCTGCAGAGCCTCCTGGGGCTCAAGGAGAGGGCCGAGGACTTTCCTGTGGCTAGCGGTTACATTCTCTGCTTTGGGCAAGGGTGGGCTAGTGGCATACTCTGGAATAGGAGGGCTGGGGACACGCCTGACCTTAAACCCAGAAGGCTTAGAAATCCCTTTAAGAACGCCTGCCCAGCCTCCGCTTGTACACGTGAGGAGTTTGAGCAGCCTGCAAGCTGGCCAAGGTTGCCCCGGCTCCAGACTCCCCGTCCTCAGCCCTGGGCCTCCTCGCCCTGACAGCAAGTGAATAATGTGGGACGAGATGCAAATATAGCCTTTGGAAGCATCGGCTTAGTCCGCTGTGTATGAGGTTCATGCGTTGTGTGTTCAGTGCTGGGAGAGGGGGGACAGAAGGCGGACCTGGCAGATAGAGCAGGTTCCAAGATGCCCACCATGGCTAAGAAGTTGGGGGGCATGACCCAGCAAAGCAGCTGGCCGGAAGCTGAATGCCACACACCTTGAAGAGGGGCACCATCCTCCCTCCAGGGCATGCCTGGTCCTCTGTTAATTGGCTTCCCCCAGTTTGCTGACTGTTTTCTGTGTGCCCAGCACTGCTGGGCTTGGACACAGAATGGGAAAGGCACAGATGCTGCTCTAGGAGACTTGACGTGACATCCTGACTCTCAAGTAAGAGCCGTGACGAACGTCAGTGCGTGCAAGTCAGAGGATGCTCTTTTGGAGGGTGACGAGTGATGATCAAAACATGTGAGTGTGTGTGCATGTGCGTGTGATCACTGGGAGAAAAAAATATCGTCATGGCTATGACAGGTTTTTACGGGGAGCTAGAAGAAATGGATTTAAATTAGAGTTGCAGAGATCTTCCTTTTCCCTCCCCCTGTAACTAGGGTTGCTAGATAAAACCCGGGATGCCCAGTTAAATTTGAATTTCAGATGAAAAACGAAGAATTTTTTTGTGCAAGTATGTGCCAAATATTGCATGGGACATACTTATATTTTTTTTGAAAAAATGTTGTTTATCTGAAATTCAAACTTATCCAAAGATCCAGTGTTTTTATTTGCTAAATCTGGCAATCCCACCTATAACAGCAGGGAAGGTAGAAAGGCTTCATTTCGAAATCATTTCCATAGTCATTAAAAAAATGCAGTCACATGAGTTATAAAAGTCATTATTTATTTATTGTATTAGGTCTTCCAAGACAGAAGTGTCTAAAGTGAGACGATTAGTCTCCTTTGTTCCTCCCCAGATCCAGCTCTCCGGGGTGACTTCTGACTTCTGCTAACTGTTGAAGTGTCCCCTCCCCAAATCTCCCCTTTGCTCATACTGACCCACCCATGTGCATATGCTATGTATTTTCCCAGTACTTTCTGCTTTTTTGGAGAAAATCCCCAAAGTAGAATTATTGGGGCCAAGGGCTTGTATATGTTAAATTTTAATAACTACAGCTGGATTGCTTTACAAAGTTGAAAGTATTTACAGATCTCTCCACACCATGTGAGAATCCTTTATCTTACATCCATACCAGTATCAGTTATTATTATTTCTTAAAGTACTTGCCAGTCTAAGGTACAAAATATCATTTTAACTTACATTTCCTCAACTTTAGGAAGGTTCATTATCTTTTTCTGTGTTTATTGTTCATTTGCATTTGACTTCTGTGAACTATCTGTTCATGTGCTTTGTCTGTGTTTCCATGGAGTCTTTTTTCTTTATTCATTCCAGGGTGCTCTTTACATATGGGCCACTCTCAGACTTTGACTATTACATGCAGTCTTGGAGTTGCTTCTGGACCAGCTGTGTTAAACCATCACCTGATCTCGAAGCCTTAGACCATGAGCTTCTCATGGTGGTGGCCTTCTGGGTCTAATGACAATGGTAGACCTCCAGCCCCACATGGGTGCCTAAGGTCTTCTGATCTTTTTGTCTGAAACTCCTGGGTTTAAAGGAATCGTGTGTGGCTCGAGAGCCTCAGTTAGTGCTTCACTGCCCTGGTACTGCCCCAAAGACAGCCGGAAGCCCTGGATGGCTTTCAAAACCCCACCCCCACTTTATTATCCTGCTTTCTCTGCACGCACAGGAAGCTCTGCTCCAGAGGAGGGAACTGGGCGTTGGGAGGCAGCACTGAGGGTGTCCTGCTCTGATCGTGGGCATCTCCTCAACAGCCACATTCAGCATGTAATTCCACAGGGAGGCATCTCAGGGGCTGCAAGGTGGAAGGGGGAAAGATGGGAAGTCTCCAGTTCCCCCAGTCCACTTCAGCCATTAACTCATTCACTAATTCATTCATTCATTCATTCAATAAGACTTTGTCAAGCTCCAGGTACACACACAGGACCTGACCCTGCTGTCAGCCTCTGGGAGAGAAGTCATCACACAATCACACAGATTTTATCAACAGACTGGCTGGGACCAGCTCTTCTTCCATCTGTCTCCCACACTGGGGGCCCCATAGCCCGACCTCGGGTGAGGAGCTGTCCCCATCCCCACGCCACACCCTCAGCCAGGATCCAGAGTCCCTGAACCTTGCCTCTCCAGCACTCTCAGCCTTATGCCCACAGCACCCCGTGCATGTCTGGGGAGAAGCATCTCCTCGGGGCATTTGTGGTCGGCTCTGTGTCTTGCTTTAGGAGAGTCAGTGGCCAATGGGGCTGGCTCAGCCGGGGTGTGCATGGATGCACACCCATGACAGGTGGGCCCTTGAAGCTACCAGGAGACTTGGAGAGGCAGGGTGGGTGGGGATGGGCCTGCTGCCGTGCTCCACTTATTCAAAGGTCTGTCGTGGTGGAGGAGGAAGTAGGTTTGTCCCTTTGTGTTCAAAGGTAGAAAAAGGATGTGTGGGTGTAAGCTCTAGGGAGACAGAATTTGGTTCTGTCTGAGAGATGCGAGCATCAGCAGGACTCAGGAGGCCGTGAGGACTCCGCCCCGGGGCACTGGAGCAGAGGCCGGCTGGAATGTGGGTGATGGAGGGGTGTGGGGAGACAACCCTGGCACTGGCGTAAGCGCCTGTCCACCCTTCACCTGCCAGGAGAGACCTACTCTGTGCACTGCTTTGTGTCCCCATACGTCCAAGTCCTAATTCCGGGGGCCTGTGAATGAGATCTTATTTGGAAAATAGGTCTTTGTAGATTTAATCAAGTTAAGATGAGGTCATACTGGGGTAGGGTGGTCCCTAAATCCAGAGACTGGCGTCCTTATAAGAAGAGGAGAGGACATACGAAGATAGACAGCCACGTAAGGGCGGAGGCAGGGATCGCAGTGATGCAGCACAAGCCGTTCCAGAGCGCAGAGCACTGCCGACACCTTAGTTTCGGGCTTTTGGCCTCCAGAGCTGTTCAAGAGTAAAACTGGTGTTGTTTGAAGCCGCTTAGTTTGTTACGGCGGCCCTAGGAGACAAATACGTCTGCCAAGCAGGTCAGTGTCCCACCTTCTGGGTCCCTTAGAGGATGGAGAGGACAACAGGGGACTCTCTGTGCAAAGTGCTAGGCCGGGTGTGGCCCCAGGAGCCCACGGCTGGCTCCTCTTAGAGTCTTTGGTGCCTCACTCAGCAGGAAGAAGCCAATGGCTGGCAGCCCGAGAGTCAAGGGAAGCCTGGCTTGTCCATCTGTCCATCAGCACAATGGCGCACCTTTGACAGAACTGATGTGGCCACAAGCGCATGCTTATTGAGCTACACTTAAGCAGGGCCCCTCGGCTGGCAAATTTACAGGATGTGGTGGTGCATTTTACTGGAACGCACATGTATGTTACTGGTGTTGCCAGGACTATGTGGCACAAGACAAGGGTGTGAGTTGGGTGGTGATTAGTATAATGGGGATTCTGGGGTCAAACTGTCAGGCCAAGGGGATGGTAACTTTTCCTCCCTGTCCCCCTGTGGGGTCTCTGAATTCTAGCCATGAATGGAAGTGGGAAGGGCGAGGAGAGAGAGTCTCTCGGTGCGTAGGAAGCTGTGGAGGGAGGCTCTGTGCAGACGCACCTGCGGCGGCTACTACTCACAGGCAGAGGGGGCCGGGCTTCTTGAGTGGTCTGCACGGAGGGAACCGGCCCCTTCCCCAGAGGCTGGCTTGTGATTGGGGGCTCAACTGCTCCCAGTAGAAGAGGGGTCCCTCCTACTGCCTGGCGGACCCACTGTCCGTGTGGACTCTTCCAACTCTGCTCAGCCAGTGGCCCCACAAATGCAAATCCTGCAGGCCTCCCAGGGCCCTGGCACAGGTCATCCCTGTGTTGGAATGGTCATCCCCACCCAGGCGACTTTGTCCTTGGGAGTTGACCATCCTGTCTTGCCCTGTGCCCCCCCTAGAATGTGGCCTGACCAGGCCCTCTGGCCATGCAGCTGACCTGTGAGCCCAGGAACCCCAGAGGGGCAGCTGGGCCATTTTCTACCCTCTGGATCACCTGTGGGCCCAAACGTTGGGGTGAGTGCCCTGGGGGACGAGCGAGAGGGCGAAGGCACAGTGAGACTGAAGGCAGCCGGCTCCTGGTGACGCCTCCCGAGGGCAGGCAGGGAAGAGCCTTGCTGGGGAGAGGGCCCCACAGGCTGACCAGCTCCCAGGGGCATCTGGGCCCTCCCCCTTCTTCTTACTGACCTGGGCTTGGTGCAGGTGTCCATCCTCCCACCCCGTCGGGCAGGGCTGGGGAGAGTGAGGCCCACCCTGACCTCAGGGCTGAGCACTTGGTCCATGGGAGATGCTGTGCTCTTAGCCGTGACTGGTTCTGCCTAATGAGACAAGAGGAGTATCTTCCAGCAGGGAGGGTCAGCTTCCGTGAACACTTCTTGGCTTCTAAGAGAGGCCTCAGGACGTTGTTATGGATCTACCACAGCCATCCTGCTTCCAGCCTGACGGGAGGGTGCAGAGCGGGCAGGGGGCAGAACCTGTGTCCTTGTGACACAGAGAGGTGCTGAATCACCCAGCCCTGCACCAGCCGTGGCCTGGACTTCCCGTGGTGTAGCATCACTCTAGGCACCAGGAGGCCTACATATCAGCCCCTGAAGCTGTGTCTCCCGGGGCCACCAGCACCCTGAGTCCCTGAGCCCTGTTCTCCCTGGGTTCAGCCTCTAGGGAGCCACTTGTTAAAGTGGCTCCCACCTGGAAAGAGATCCTAGCTTTATTTCATACGTGGCAGGTTGGCATTTCCCTAAAGCAGCTTCCCTAAAGTGCACAGAAAAGAAAAGCAATAAACCAGAAGCCACTGGTGCTTGGCGCCCATGATGCTTTACAAGCTCGGATTTGGGTCACAGTGAATCTAAGGCTGGCACAGCTTACGGCCAGTCACCCTTGGTTCTGCCCCAGGACAATCTCGTCCTTGGATTTTCAACCAAGCTGAGGGGACCAGTGGTAGGAATAGCTGCTTGCTGGTCCTGAGGCTGGACTGGGGGGTGGTTCTCAGCCCCTCCAGCACCCGGGCTCATCCTACTCTGGTGAGGGCCTGAGTCTGTGCAGAACTGCTCTCAGTGCCCCGACCCCTGGTCCCTGGAGAGGAACCCCGTGTTTTTGGCCCCAGGATTTCTCCTGACCCTGCAGGAGCCCTTTTTGTCCTTCCTGGAGTTGGCCCTGGCTCTGGCCCTTACAAGCCTGCTGGTGTTCTCCGTTCATTTCCCCCTGTTCTGTTGGGCTCACGGTGGGAGAAGAAGGCCGCAAACACGGTGAGGCCATTGTGGGAGGGAGCCCGGGAGCTCTGCCGGAGCCTCGTCCGTGAGCAGCCCTGTTGGGCCGTCCCCAAGCTCTTTGCACTTCATCTGTCGTCATCGTGAAACAGCAGACCCAGCCTGAGCTCCCATTTCATATTTGAGGGACACACCTCCTTCTGGCAGAGCAGCTGTGAGTCCTGGATTCAGGTTCCTCACTCCTCCCACCTCTGTATGTGCCCCCGGTGGGTCTCTCCTTGGGGAATGGCTTGACAAAGTCCAGATGACTGCAATCTCACTGTCCCCAAACTACCCTAGACATCTTACCTGAGGCCTTAGCCTACTTTGGCTGCCATGACAGAATACCACAGACTAGGTGGCTTAAGGAGCAGAGATTTATTTCTCACAGTTCTGGAGGCTGGAAGTCTGAGGTCAAGATGTGGTGTGGTCAGGTTCTGGTCAGGGCCCTCTTCCTGGCTTGCAGACTGCTGCCTTCTTGCTGTCCTCACATGGTGGGGAGAGGACTCTGGTGTTTCTTCCTATTAGGACACTAATCCCATCACGAGGGCCCAACCCTCATGGCCTCATCTAACCCTGATCACCTTCCAAAGGCTCGACCTCCAAATACCATCACATTGAGGGTTAGGGCTTCAACATACGAATTTTGTGGGGACACAATCATTCAGTCCATTAAACCTGCGGTAATAGGAAGTCAAGTCAGCCCTTCAGAGCTATGAGGTTGTTTGTTTCTGAAGACATCGCCAGCCAAGGGGAGCACCCCCTACTTTGAGCTCAGATCAAGGGTAGAAATGTTCATAGTTATAAAGGTCAGTAGCAAAACCTTTTCATCGTTGCTCAGAACTGATTACCTTTCATACACACATCCCCACCCCAATCTCACTCATCCATCAACAAATCCTCAGATATCCACCATCGCCTTTATACACACACACACACACACACACACACACACACACCCCTAGACATAACCCCTTATTGTTTTAAACTACTCTATACTGTTGCTTCTCAGAACTATAGGGATCACGCATAGGTAGACTAGAAGGTTCTTAGATGCTCAGATCTGGCTATTTTCATCACTGATCCATTTCAGTAAGAGAAGATCTCAGAGAAGGGGGCTCTCTTTTGAGTGTCATGTCTTTAAGTCAGGGTTGGTTTTTTTAATATTGTAGAATTTGGACTAAAGAGGAAAGTAACTTTAAAAAATCATATTTTTCTGTAACTGTAGAGCTGATTTGTTGACAAAGATCATTTTCCTATTTAATGCTTAATTGCAGTGTTCCATGTTATAAAATTTTACTCTCCTGTCTTCAGCTGTCCTTTTAGTATCCTTTGGCCAATTCAGCCATTTAAAAATGATGTTGTGGAAGAATACTTAGTGATTTGTTATGAGACATAGTTAAATGGAAAAAAGTTACAAAATGGAATGTACAGTATGATCCCACTTGGTACCAAAATATATATTCTATGCATAGGAAGGTCTGGGAGGGTATATATGCTCAAAATGTTAACAGGAGTTATTTCGGGGTAGTGTGATTGTGGGTTATTTTAAATTTTCTTCTTTTTGCATATGTGTAGTTTCTAAATTTTCTGCAGTGAATATGTATCACTTTTATAATAAGGACACAATTATAACTACAGATCTTGCCAAAGGCTGCTCAGACTCCCTGACCACAGGGGGCTGAGGTCGCCCCTCCTGTGCTGTACAGCTCCCATGCTCAGCCCCAGGTGCCTTGGGGGCCACACACCAAAACCTTCCCTCCCACACTCCTGGGACTCTGGGCTGTGCAGAGCTGATGCTGGTTTTCCCTAGTATTGAAGGGACCTGGAGACCCCTCCCTGACAGGTGGGTTTATCACCACCCTCCCTGACGGGCCTCTAGTCCTCTATTCTACCCATGCCAGCCAATGGGTGTGCTGGGGGCATGGCCGGTGAGTCCAGGGACATGGCCAGGGCGTGGCCTCGGGAGGATTTCTGAGGCCTGAAACCCCCATTGCTGGAGGAGGGTGCTGTCCCATCGCTAGGGTGGTCCTGTGAGAAAAACAAAGGGCAGAGGCTGTGTGGTAGAGAAGGTCAAACCCCAGTTCCCCCACCAACTAGCTCGTGGTCGACTCTCTGAGCCTCAGCTTCCTTAACCTACAAAATGAGGGTGATGCTGTGAAAATGAGTTGAAATATGAGGGTCAAGTACCTTGGGTGGGGCTTGAAACAGGACAGGTGCTGAGCACATATGCATCCTTTTTCTGTCCTTTAAGGAATGTATAATCCAGTTGGGGACACGCCCACCCTGGTATAAACCAGTAAAGTCCACTGGGAGAGCTTCTGCGTGTCAGTGGACATTGAGCTCCAGATTGCTCAGAGCTAGTTCAACAGCAGTCACCCATTCTGTAACACACACGCGTGCGTGTACATACACGTTTTTAATAGTTGCCTGACAGAAGAAATCATGGAGCAGGAACTGGTCCCTGTGGCCTTGCTTGTGTCCTCGGAGTCTACTGTGCAGGTGATTCAACGGTAGCCACCCCTGGACAGGGCAGCAGTCATGCTCTCCAGCATCATCAAGACAGGGCCCAGAGGCCAGAGCCCCAGGATTACTCCTGGCTGGTCTGTCCTGGACAGCGGCTGCAGGAGCAGAGGGAGGCTCCCTACTTTGAAGGCGTGGGCCTCTGTCACTGGCCTCTGTCACCTTCCTCTCCTCTGACCTCCCAAATGTAGTCTTCTGCCCAGTCCACTGACCTTGGACCTTGGATCTGTCCACTTCTGTCCATCTCCTCGGCCACCAGCACCATTGTCAGCTTTCCTGTCTGCAGCCTTGATGCTTCTGTCCTGCAGAGAGGCGTCTCCCCACACTGCAAATCTGCTTATGCTGACCCCTGCCTCACCCGCTCTGTGCTGGCCAAGGGCTCTGCACGGTCCAGCCTGGCTTTGCTGCAGGCCACCCCAGCCTGCCTTTAGGGCCATCATGTGGTGGATGTTACAACAGGGAAACTGAGTCTACCTCTCCCCCTCCCTCCCCCACTCCTGTGCAGTTCTCATGCAGATCTATCACACAGCAGAGGACACCTTGTGATGTCCTGGCGAAGCAGGTGAGAGGTGTGAGGGTGCTTCTGGTGATACCTCCCTACAAGAAATCAGATGAGGGCTAAAGAAACGCTGAGGAGAGCGCTGTGCCATCTGCCCCGCTTCCTGGAAACCTGAGCCCTGACACAGCAAAATCGAGGCATGAGTGTTCAGATCACAAGAGGACCCTCTCTGGCTGCAGCCCCCTCTTGAATTGGTGTTTGCTCGAGCCCATTGCTGGTGAGCATGTCTGTGTATGTGGAGGGAGCTGATCGGCGAGCTGGCCAGGAGAGAAGTGTTTCTGAGATGGAGGTGAATCACTGTGAACATGATTGGATTTACAAAAATTGGTTTGACACAAACTTTCAGGAATCCATCTGCGCTCCATGAGAGGTAGAGCTATTCCCTTGTCTAGATTCCCAGGAAGCTTATGTTCTGGGGAAACTGGATGTATTTGCTGCCAAAAGAGGCTCTATTTTTAGCCAAATGTGAGAAAGGGAAGGGGAGCCCAGAGGTGGGGGCCGAGGTACCCTGGGTAGGGACATGCTGGTGGGAATAGTGGTGAAGGGAGCAGCCCTTGGGCTGGGGATTGCGACCCGGCCTCAGAGTGTCTGCTACCTTTTTCGTTTTGGGAAAGACGTTCCCTTCTGCAAGCACCTCCGTGGGCTGGGGTGTGATGGTGCGGCCATGAGTGGATCTTTCTGTCTCCTCCCCCTACCCATGCACTAAGATGAATACCAAAAGCTACCAGCCATCACGCGTTCTAAATTTACAGGGTGCTTGTCCTTCACTGGTTGCTTAAAAGTGAAGCTGCCTTAGATGACGAGGATGCTAAAGCTGGAGGAGCATGGCAGCTGCCAGCTTCCTGGGCCCCACCTGCTGGCCTGGGCCACCCTCTGAGTGCTGCGACCTCCTCACCCCACCTGGGACCTCCTTGGCAGGGCTGCGATCAGAGGCCGCGGGGAAGGGTGGGCTTGCAGCAGGAGCCCCTCCCCTGAATGCAGGCGCAGTCTGTGCGGGGACTGAGAGGTAGGGTCTGGGGACTTGGCAACGACACCGATGTTTCTCTGTGCTGCACCTTCCAGGCGGGAGCCTGCTGTTCTCTTTTCTTCACTGCCAGAACCGGCCAAGTCCTCGGTCTGGTGGAGCCCCTGGACTGCAGGGGCAACGCTCCAGGAGAGCTTGGGGGGCACAAGCAGGCACCACCAACCCCAAGCTGCTTAGGGTCCACCGCTGAAAACAGACCCTCTTAAAATGCACACGCCCTTGGAGGAGCTGCCCCCCGAGCTCCCGGAGGTCCATCATCTGTGCTCCTTCAGCACTCTGCACACGCCTTACGGTTCTGTAATGATGATCCATATGGGCTTTATCACGGTTCCCCCAGCCCTGCTGTGGGCACCCTGAGGGCTGGGACAGAGTCTCATTGTCTCTGAAGCCCCAGGGCCTACACGGGCCAGCACCCAAGGCTAGAGTGAGTGAATGAACTGGGGGCAGACCACCACCCACCCTGGTTTCTCCTGGTCTGGCTTGTAGGGCTGGCTTGCCTCTTGGTGCTGAATTTCATGGACGGATTTCATCACAACCTCAAAATAAAAGACTGTCAACTGAGCCCCAGGTGAGCAATCACTGGGCATGGGCTGAGGCACGAAGATGGAGATGGCAAGATTCTGGCCCATATGCATCTCATACGCTCATGGGGGGCTGGCAGGTGTTTATTCACAGAGAGGACCGAGGGCCAAGGCGATGAGAAAGGGTGAGGAACACGGCATTTTCAGTAAATCACCCCCTCACCATCCCTGAAACGCACATGCAAAGATTCATTGCAACTCTCCATGGCAGGAAGGGCTGCTGGCCTCCCAGATGCGCAAGACCAGAGGGAGGAGGCCCAGAGGCCTGGGATGCCTGGACCCTTGCAGATGCCCGGGTTCAGGGGAGGTTGGGTGCGTGTGGGCAGGAGAATGATGTGGGATTCAGACAATGGATCTAGGCAGGCTCAGTGGATGGGGCCATTGGACTCCAGGGCCAAGAAGCCCTCAGAACAGGGCCGCCTGGCTGGGTGTGAACCAGTCACCCTTGTGAGCTGGCTGGACAATCAATTGTAGATGAAAGTTTCTCCCTAGGTTTGATTTTTGTCCTAAAAATGTTCTGGCCACTTGGGTTTTTATCTTTATTCTGGAATTCTCTTAGTTTGGGCTTCCTGTCCTGAATCACATCAGAAATACTCTACCACTTCACAGCATGTTCCCTTCTCTGAAAACACAGTTTACTTCCAGGTAACAGTGCAGGTGCTTGACCCTAGCTTGGCCTCTCCAAAGGTCACAGAGTGCCTTTGCTTTGCCAGAAATGAGGTTTTCCTCCAGGGCAGGTAAGAGGAGAACACTGCCGGTGGGTCCTCTCTCCATGGTGGGGTGCATTTTTGTCTTTGCATCCCATTAAAAATCCCCCCATCCAGGCTTTGTGTAAGTTCAAACCAGCTCTCATAGAGTTGAAATGCTCTGGAGCAGGGCTCTGCAAACTTGTTCTGTCATTGGCCAGGTAGTCAGTATTTTAGGGCCAGACGGTCTCTGTCACAACAACTTAACTTGGCCGTCAGCGTGAAAGCCACCTTAGATAATATGTAAGTGAACGAACGTGACTGTGTTCCAATAACTCTGTTTATAAGACAGGTGGCGAGCTGGGTTTGGCCCCTAACCTTGATTTGCTGACCTGTTCTGGAGCTTCCAGGGACACCCAGAAGCTATCAGGCCCATCTTCCTCCCTTTGGAGAATGAAAGGCTCTT